AACTGGATCCATGCAAGAAATTCAGTCTTACATTGCTGCCCTACTAAAGGGCAAGGATTTTATTTTTTTTTTAATGTCTTTTATAGTGCCTATATAATGTTGATTAAAAGTCCAAAATAAGAGCAGCTGATGTCTTTTCCTCTATTAGAAAATTTATTGTAATCTAAAGCTGACAATAATACAACTTTCACAGATTGCTTTCAAATTTATAATTCTTTGCCATATCGTTTCTACAAGTGATTCTTGCTAATTCCTGCTAATAAATATATTCCTGAGAATACACTTCCAGAATCCTAAGTTAGAATACTATGTGTACGAGTGGCACAAACATCATGGAAATTTTGAGTCACTCCAGCTGTGGAGGTAGCTCTTTCAGTTTTCATTGTGCACACTTACATGTTTCAAAGATATACAAGAAATAGCATTCTTCACATTGTTTATCTGAAAACGCTTTATGAAACCAATTAATTAGGGCTTAGAAGATTCTCTCACCACATACCTATTTTAAATAGCATTTCCAACACTGACACGGCAGGCCCTATAAAAATGTTACACTTTGACATATTTTTAAACAATTACTCTTTAAACAATAGACTCTGTTACTGTGTAGTTGGAGAAGCAAATGCGAGAAAAACCTTTGTTTTTGCTTACTACTTCCTACCAAGATATCTTTACAATTGAACAGTGAATATTTTGTGAAACTATTTGCTTTTCAGTCGCTGCTAAATGTCTGCAATCTGTCAAGGCACGACATTACTTCAGACAGAGGACACATCTCCTCCCCTTCTAACAAGGTGTTCAGCTAGCATTTTGATTTCCACATGATTAACAAGATTCTTACTGAGAAGCCGCGCTCTTGCCACTTGCAGTTTAAGTCACATAGTATAACTGACATACATACTCTCTTTTACTGCCTATTAATTTTGTTCTGAAATGTCTCTTTTTCTGAGATTATTCATTGCTGAGGAGACAGGCTGTAATACAAAAAGAAGCTCCATGATTTCGGTACCAATATTCCAGTTTTGTAAGTGAAATGCACACTAATGACTACCTTCTCTTGGCTTGTTTCTTTGGTAGTGTGATTGTTGCTGGGGAATTCCCCCAAATCCTCAGCAGATCATTAGCAGGTGCCCTCCTGACACCCAGTGCATACCATATGAACTACATTGTATTGCCTCTGGTGAACCTTTCAGTCTGTGTGTTACAATACAACATTATTTATTAGGTCTTATGCCTTCAACTAGCAAGAAATTCACAAATAAAATAGGTTGGATTTAAAGCTGTCAAGGGGTTACTGTTATATGTGGTTTAAGCTGCCCCCCAGCAAATGGATAAATAAAACAAAAGCCCCAATCATGAAGCTTTTAATTCATCTTTTAATTCATCTTTACCTGGTCAGTTGGTTACTGACTTCTACTGCCTTCAAAACTTATTTGCAAATAAAGGGAATATACTCTGAAGAATCTGCCATCTTAGTTCAGTGAAATTGAGTGACACAAGTTGTTTTGCACTGGGATGGTATTTTGTAGCTGGCATCATAATGCAATGAAAGTTTGCTGCTTGGCAGAGCTGTATGTGAACACATGAGCAATGCTTCCATGATCTATAAATAGTCTCTTAATCCCTGAATTGATCTTCATGTGCTTGCTTAAGGTTCACCCTACTTGTATTTGTATAGATTAATGTCCTTACTTTGATTCAAGATACAATTAGCCGTGTCTCAATATAATGTTAAGCCCTCCAATTTGTTGTGATGTTGGAGGCAGTTATGAAATGTAAGAGCTGTTTCCCAGACTAAGAGTAGACACAAAAACCAAGTGGTCTGTTAGTCTCCTATTTTGAAGCTGAACATTAATGAACAGGCATATTTAAGTCCACAGTATTCTTTTGCTGGCATGCTTACAAATGCCTTCTAAGTGCTGAGAACAAGACTGATCTGCTGCCATTTAGTAGACAGGATGAGGAGAAACATCTTTTGTGTTATAAATGATTCCTGAGCCAGTAATGGTTTAATCAAGAAGCTGGCATTGTTCTCAGCACATCACTTGTGGTTTAAGAACTGCCAGTCTGATGGCCACACATCTGGATCTGGTTTGTTGCTAAGGACAGAGATTCCCAGTGAGGAATTCTTCACGTGGAATGAGGCTTGTACTGGTCATTTGAGAAAGAGTTGAGCTACCTATCTAAAAGTGATCATCTAGACAAAAGTCTTATGATTTCTGACATGGAAACATTAGAGTGTGGTGAAGGATCATCATTTTTTACACTGTGCAGCTTAAGAGCTTGCCTTTCAGGTGAAACACAAGACCAGAACCCTAGGAATTGTGTTATCAATAAACATGATTCTGGGACAATTTCTGCATGAGTCCAAATTTTCATGGTTTTGTTAATCCATTTTGTTTTCCTGCCCTTCACTACTGTTTAAGTGGCATATGCTTGTTTTTCAATCTTAAACTGACATCTGATATTGCTAGATAGTTGAAAAGTTGCATGATGGCACCCTTATGAAGTTGGTACCATTTACAACATTCAAGAAAAACTATGAAAAAAAGATGCTTTTGCAATATCATTATATGAATATAATTGATGATGTGACATGAAGCTGAGAAGTCACACTTATTCTGGTGACAGCAGCATATCAGCACCCTTTTCTTGTAAAATGCTTATCAGTGATTATGTTGTTAAAGGCTTCCTACACCTACTTCATTTTTACATTGCTCTTCTGGTGCAAGTGGTGTTATGTAGATTGAAAGGTCTTTCTACTTCTTCCCCACAACAATACTTTCAGCTTTTAAGAAATTCAACTGGTAGATTTTGAGGATGCTTGCTTTTAAGCTGACGGTGTTCACTCAGTAAGACAGCTTGCTTTTTGGCTTAATCTTTGACAACATGCCAAATTTTGAAATATTTGCTGATGGAGAAGTTGGCCAGTGGTTACAGACTGGATTAGCTGAACAAATTTTTGCCCACTTGTTTCTAGAATTTGGGTCTAGAATTTACAAAGAGGAATAAATAAATGAAAAAATAAAAAGTACAGTACAGTTTACTCAAAATGACAGATTTCTTCTTCTTTGAAAAGATAAAAGGCAAGGTCCCATGCTTAACCTTCTGCTCGACAGAATGGTTTTGGATGCTGCTGTTGGAGGACAAGATCAGTTTGGTGGCTTTGCTTTGCAAGAGCTACTGAAACAAGAATGCTTGAGTTGTTATTTTATTTATAAAGGCTGAAATAGAAGCCAGGATATTTTGGCATGGAGAAGCAAAAACAGAATTAGAAAGATCTGTAGCTACTAGAAATTAAGATTTATGTAGTGGAAAGTTTTGAATACTGGAATCCACATTGTCAGTGCAGTTAGAGATGGACATGGGGGTTCCTCTGTCCAAATTGGAAAGGAACAAGGGAGCAGGAAGGCTCAGTACCTCCTCCTGTACATGGTGAGAGATAAGAAAGTAAGGAAAAAACATGCTCCTGAGAATAATCATTTCAAACATTCCCTTTCAGGGGCCTTTTCTCCTTTCAGACACTCATAACAATTTTTTTTTCCCTGAAAAGTTGATCTCAACACAATGGATTCAAGCAGTGAACCCCTCTATAGGCAATTTGTTGTTAGTCTGCCATGCCCAATTTGCTCTGACAGTTCTTACTCAAGCTGAAATAGGACCCGATAAGCAATCACAGGGCAAATCAGTGCTGGAATATGCTGGCAGAGTGCTAAGGAAGAAGTTTCCCACATAGCATTTGACTGTAAGGACACAGGAACGAAGTGAAGTTTGAGACGTGAATCTTGAGACTGCAAAGTGGCAGCTGCACACAACTGAGCAGCCTATAGATTTGAGAGCTCGAGAAGTAAACCGGCTGTGCATTGAAAGGTAGGCATTTGGAGGTGATAAATTTAGCCCTGACTCATCCAAAGGCAATTTTGACACTAGGGTGGACTAAATTACTTTTAGGAGTTGCATCATGTTTTTACCAGATCGTTTGTTTAGTTTAACCCATTCCTGTTCCTTTGGACAGACCTTAGACCTTTCTCACTTGAAATACCCACACAACAGCTTGTGTGTAATGCATACAGCACAGACACATTGTGGGCCACCATGTTTCTTCCTCTAAGAGATGGTCACGTAAAATGAATGTAAATTCATTTTATGCTGAATGTAAACATACAAAATGACATCTTAAGACTGGACTTCTGTTTTTCCTTATCTTAGTGTAAAAGAATCAGAGCCTTCACTTCTCAGAGCCAAAAATCCGTTCCAGAAGATGACTGAAAATTCCTTCACAGCTTTGCCCCACAAATTAAACGGTTCTTTCCTCTATCTGGTGCTAACTCCTCAGGTATTTACTGGGAGCATTCGTACGCCGCAGCAAATCCTCTTCCTGATGGACAGGGCCCATCTCCTGGGCCCCTGGGCTGTCCTCCTCTGCACCACTTGTGGTGAACGCCTCGTGGCGGGACGGAGCGGCGCGGAGCGGTGCGGGATGCCCGTACAAAGTTACGCTACACGCTACGCTACCAGCGCCGCGCCGCGCCGTGCCCGCGCAGCACGGGACGCTTCTCTCTCACCACCGACCGCTGTTTGAGCGCTCACCGGCTTCTGGGAGCGCGGTTCTCCTGTATCGAAACGTTTAAAATCTCGATGTCCTCGTTAGAAACCCAGCTAAATCTTAACGCAGATAGCAGAGATGTAGCTGCGTGCCTGACACGGACCTGCACCGGCCGGCCCTCAGCCCGGCTTCCCCTCGGTGCCGGCACTCAGCGTTCCCGCGCGCCGGGGCTCCGACGCCGCTACACCGCGGCCTCCCGCGCCGGCCCTTCCGACGGGGATCCCTCCGCCCAGCCGCCAGCGCCGGGGAACAACGGGCGGCTCCGGTTTCCGAGGCAGCGGGGCGGGAGGGGGCGGCCCGAGGTGCCGGGCGGTGGGCCGGGCGGCGGGCGCATGAGCGCGGCCCTCGGCGGGGCGGGAGGCGCTGAGGGGCGGCGGCGCGGACGATGCGCGGCTCTCGCTGAGCGGCCGCCGCCTCTCGCCGCGGGATGAGCGCCTCGGCGGCCACCGGCGTCTTCGTCCTCTCCCTCACCGCCATCCCCGTCACGTACCTCTTCAACTGCTTGGCGGCCGGCGGCAGGTGAGGCGGGCGGCGGAGGGCGGGAGGGGAAGCGGGAGGCTGAGATGAGGGGAGCCGAGGCGAGGGGCAGCCCGGAGGGTATTTTTAGCGGCGGCACAGGGAGAAAGGGCGGCTGCGGCCGCGGGAGAGAGCGGGCCGGGCCGGCGGAGCGAGGGCAAAGCGGGGGCAGAGGCGCCCCGGGAGCGATGCGAGCGGCCCCGCAGCACGGCGCCCCCTCGAGGGACGGCAGCGGGCGCAGCCCGGCATCCTGCTGAGCACACAGCCACGCGTGTTTTGCTACTTTGCTGCACTGCACGGATATCTGCCCCGTGTTTGTAAGGCTTTGCTGCCTCCGTTCCTTCCTCATTTGCCTCCTCCTTGCTCATAACCTAATTATTTCTCTTGGTTTCTCACTGCTGGAGAAGTGCTGACTTATGTGATACGGTGCCAATGTTTGTTTCAAATTGATAAACCACAGCGCAGAGTTGTTGTGGTAGTAGCGGCTGTAATGGCATGAAGTAATCCATCACTGGTGGAGCGGAGCGGCAGAAGACTGAAGCCATGAAGCAAGCCAGCAGGCTGGGAGCACCCACCACGGCTCAGGAAGCATCCGGGTGTATATTCCAAAATGGTTATCTTGCACTTCTTTTCAGTGATTTAAAATGAAGCTTCACTAAGGCTGAAGTCACCACAATCAGCACTGTTTGCTTATACACTGTTTTCTGGACACACATAGCGGCACTGTATATAATCACATGCCAAATATTTCTTAGCTGGTGCTTCTGGAGTTTACCTAACTTTTCTCTCTTTTTTATTTTTTTCTCCTCTGTGCACAAGCACAAAACTGAGGACTGAGAAGAGAGTCTTCACAGAATCAATTGCACATACAGGGATTTAAACCTCAAACACATTTTCTTAATGCACCTTTTCCTAGGGTTTCTGCTGAAGATTTTGGTCCTCCTTTCTACAAACAACTCACACAGCAGCATTAGAGCCCCCAGTATCTCAGAGGAAAGCTCTGCCCTGCAGAGCCCACCTGTGTTACTGCCAAAGAGCTGATTCCTGCATTCCTGCATCACCTCAAGCAGTGCTGCTTTATGGGGACTGAGGGCTCTTCCGTAGCACTTCCAAAACTGGAAATTAGATCCATCACAGGTGCTCCACACTGCTGCTCTTAGCCTGCAAAACGAATGTGCTTTACTTGTAAATACGTAGTTTCTAGGTTAGGTAAATGATTGCTGAGGTCAGACTTAATGTCCTTAATGATCCTATTTTTGGCCTTGAAATCCCTGCATTCATGACTTTCATGTCTCATTGGCCTTTGCATTTTCCATCATTTCTATTTATTTTTGCAGACAGCAGTATGGAAACTGATTTTAGTCAGACAAATCTTGACTACTGGACATTTTGTTTATCTATCTATTTTTGTATATTCTTTTTTTAGATAATCACATGTAAAAAGACAGGCCCATAAATCATGCAAAACTACAAAATGAACCCTATGACAGTCTATGAAATGGACTTTTAGAACAATCTTTTCTGTATTAAAAACAATTACTTTAAGAGTATGTACATGTGAGAGTGGGCCTGTCATTTGAGAACAGCTGATAAAAAAAACTAAATAAATGTAATTCTGCCCCTTTTCCTGTTTTTCTTTTAACCCCCACTTCTCTTTTACAGTTCCTGGTCAATTGTTGCAGTTGGATTACTGGTTCTGGTTTTTATTGCTTTGTTGGCTCGTGTTCTTGTCAAAAGAAAACCACCAAAAGATCCGCTGTTTTATGGTATGTCCTGTTAACATGGGAGCTAAATTCAGAACGTATCGATTTTTGTGAAGGATAATATATAGTGATTGTTTCAGCTTTAGAATTTAACCGTGGCTTCAGAACTCATTCTATACATTTCTATTTTTACACTTTGCCATCAAAGCATGGAGATATCGATTACTTTCTGAAAGGAAACCTTACTTTTAGATTACCTTGGAGCAAAAACACTGCAGCTGTGTCTTTGGCTGGCCCATTTTTTTCTAAGCTGAAAATTTTGCAACATTGGACTGTAGGTGAAGCAGCACATAAACTTCGTGTATTTATCCTCTGTCTTCCTCCTTATTACAACTTGTAGGCATCTGTCCTGCAGTGTTTTGAGGTTGAGAACTCTCAATTCCCACAGATGTCAAAGGAAATAAAAAGCCTAACATAAGTAAGTTTTCTGTCTCAGATGAGCAACTCTGAATGCCACTCGGCCTTGCTGGATAGGTCTCCCATGGACTGCAGGGGCTAATGCTAATGTGCTAATGGCATTCTCCTTCAAAAATGGCAAGTTACATTTTCTTTTTTTTTTTTTTTTGTCCTATCCCTTTTCAGGAGGTAGCGACAATCAAGGTCACTTTATGACTAAGATCTTTGAAAGCATACTTGGCCTTCTGGAAATGCTGATTTTTCCACGGAGATTCATGGGGGCTGTGCCTACAGCTCCATGAGATTTCACATTCTTTTGAAAAACCTTCTAAGAACTTCCTGAGTTACTAACTATTGAAAAACTATGTGAAACTATGTGAAAAATGACGTGAAATTGTCACATCATATGTATGTTAAATATCTGTGACTCAAAATAGACATGTATAGTTCAGTAGATCTCTGCTTGACTGTGTTTATTAGATTGTGAGGTGACTGCATGATTTCAAGTCTTTATACATTTCTAAATTTTATTTTTATTTATTTATTTTTAATTTATTTTCTTCTGTCTTCTTACAGTTTATGCTGTATTTGCCTTTACCAGTGTAGTGAATCTAATAATTGGGCTGGAACAAGATGGAATTATTGATGGATTCATGACTCATTACTTGAGAGAGGTAAAGGACTGCTTGGCTTACAAATATAAATAATATCTTCACTGTGAATAACTTGTTCCAGTATTTGCCACAGAAAAACAGCCTCTTACATGTTCAACAGGACCTTCTTAAATTTGGTCACTGACCTGTTTAATTGTTGTTATTGGCAAAACTGTCATTGACTTGAAATCACTGACTCATTTGGAAAATTAACATCCCTTTCAACTCCAACCTTATTTAATTAAAGTAATACTGTTCTGTATTAACTTGTATGGTCATTATATGGATGGAAAACAGTTGCTGAGAACCATAGTCAACACATGGGGTGGATGGGTGCTGCCATATCTAAACGTTTTACCAAGAAGGAAATAATACCATTCCTTTCCTTTTGCCCAGTTACTTTCATATGTGGAATTGAAGTAGAGTTAACAAAACGATGGTGCCAAACACCTACTCAGCAGAATCTGTTGGCTGCTGATTAGCAACATCCACCAAAAATAGCTCAGTAAGATCTTGCTCTCAAAGTCACTGAAGTCACTGAAAAGATTCCATGAGCTTTAATGTGGAACGAGTTGGGGCCTACAAAGTTACCTGTTATCATCATTAACACGTCCAGCACTGCTGTAGATCTCTAGGTTGACAGATGTATCTTTGTTACTTGTTAAATGTGTCTTCGTTTTGTTTCTTTTAACATTGAAATACGGCAATATAGCAGAGCAGTGATGATGATCACATGCAGGAGATTTCCCTTCATCTTGCACTCTGTTCTGTAACCATAGAACCAATTTCATTACACTTGATCCTTACTAAATCAGGTTTGTGCTTGGAAACATCTTTGTTAACAGTTGAAAAGTGTACTGCTGAACTGAATGATCATCAGTTACTTTTATCAAATCGTTTCCTGCTGTTCTTTATTAATTGATTATTCTTTCTTGAATCATTGCATGATTTTTAAAACAACTTTTCCCTAGGGTGAACCATATCTGAACACTGCGTATGGCCATGTGATCTGCTATTGGGATGGCTCTGCTCATTATCTGATGTATCTTTTGATGGTGGCAGCTATTGCTTGGGAGTAAGTCATTCTGATTTGTGTAATACTTTGCTTGCATTCTCATTTAACCCACGAAGGGCTTTCTTTTCTATGTAGCATTTAGATTGTTCTTTCAGGACTGTTTCATGTCATAGGCTAAAGCAACACTACTAAAACGTCATTACTTTCAGGAACTGTACCCTCTTCAAGTTGCCTTTTCTCTCAGCTTTGTAAGACCAACAAATCCATTGATCTGTGGTTTCTCTCCTTCACCCTGAGCACAGTCCATCTGTGTGCTTTATGCTAGTTAAAAGCAAAAGAACACACATTAAAACCATGAGATATCGTGCCCCCATTAGCATATTTACAGTTAGAGTACTGTATAGTTTAGCATTATGATGCACTCTCTCCATTTTGGAGAGAATCACTAGCTTAGCAGGCAGCAGCCCTTTCTACAAGTTCTTTTCTTTATTTCTGTTGAAGAAGGTTTGAGAAGATAAACTCTTGAATCCAGAGGCTAATGTACACACACTGGCAATAGGAGCAACACTGGAATTCAGTTAATTAATAAATAATTATTATTTTATCGTATTTGCACACATACGACATGCAAAATCACACAGTCAGCCTTCAGATGAGTGAAACATAGTGACAGACAACTAAGTATGAGCAGATCCTGTACTATTCATGCAATAGCCTGCTCAGACAGGAGTGTAGCATTCTTCTAAGTTCCCACCTCGAAACAAGAATCCAGTGCTGTCTTGTGGTGCAGATCTTAAATATTTGCTTACTAGGATACAACCACACCAATCATAACATTTGAAGATGATCTGGGGGTAGTGGATTTTTAGGGATAGTGCAAAAATGATGTTTTTGTATTTATACATTTTTTATTTTTTATTTTTAACAGACAAAGCTATAGAACCATTGGCCTTTATTGGTTGGGCTCCATTTTCATGAGCATCATTGTCTTTATGCCTGGAAACATTGTGGGTAAGGATGTAATTATTTAACTAAATTTCTCCTGTGAAACGTTTTCAAAATTCAGCAATAGGTTATTTCTGTTTTGCTGCAGTCTGAGTCTTAAATCTAAGTCTTCCAAGTCTTCCTGTTTATAATGAAATGAAAGACAAATTTTAGGACTATCAATAACAGAGACAGAATATTTCAAAATTTAAATATGAAATATGAAAAGAAATTGTTTTGATTCACATTCTCAAGGAAAAATAAAAGTATTGTATTTTGCTATGCCCATAAGATTTCATCCAAATTAGGTTTAATTTTAGCAGGGATACAGTACTTGTCTCCAAGTAAATAATATCAAACTTATTTTGCAGAGAATTACTAATTAATATTATGACTTTCAAGCAGCATTAGGGTCATCCAGATCACCTTTAACAAAATGAAATCTGGAAGTTATTCAATTTTCAAAATTGAACATTTTTTGATTAAGATAAATCATTGCATAACTGCTAGAGATTAGAATTGTAATTTAAGTATTCACATAATGTCTTTCTGGCGCATGGTGCCTTAAAGTGCCCCCACTTTCAGGATGTTGAAAAACCACAAAATACCAGATCTTAAAAAATAGGTAAATTTCTTTTTTTTTTCCTTTTTTTTTTCCTTCTCCAAAGCATAGTCTCTATTTGAAAGTAAGTTCCTCTAGGAGAGTTCACAGCCCTCCATTCCTGTAGGATTACCTAGCACAGAGTCACTGATGTGGTTTCTTGTCCTCTCCAAAAAAGGACAGTTTCTCTCATTTCTGACATGCCTTCCTGGCTGATAGGTTCAGTCTCACTGTGCCTGGCACTGTTGAGTACCAGATTTTCAAGATCTGCTTTGCTTTCACAGCAGCTTCCAGTGTTTTATGTCTACACTACCATAGCTGCTTCCGGTTTGATATTAGATATGTAGTATTCAGCACAGCTTACAGATTTTTCAAGTACCTTATGATCATTTTGTTCTAACAGGAAAATACGGAACAAAAGTGTGTCCTGCTTTTTTCTTGAGCGTACCATATATTTGCCTTCCCATATGGGCTGGGTTCCGAATTTATAATCAACCTTCAGCAACTCCTGATACTCCAGTCAAGGTAATATTATTGTATTTAAGCGTTGGTTACTGTTAGAAAAACTCAAATATGCCCATTGTCTGTATGGAGTTTTCCAGGCCCCTCTGTGGCAGAGGAATGCTTTATAATTGTTCACTGTTACGACAGTTGCTGCCAGGCTGTGTAGACACTGTAAATATACCTGTACTACAAGAACATATCATTAAGGTGGGATAAAGGAATAGCAAAATTCTCTCATATTTAAAGCAAAGGACTCATTTTTAAAGGTAATGTTGTTACTTCCCTCTATTTATTCAGCTTTTGACTGTTTCAATTCCACAACTGATGGAAACATTAAAATATACCAATGTCATAAGGTGCCACAAAATCCTTAGAGACCTTCTACAGAAAAATATTCTTCTGTAGAAGACTTACAGACTTTATGTAATTTAAACATTTCCTTCCTTTTTGTGCATGTGTGTGTGTGTATTATGCAATATTAGATTGTAGAGGTAATATTAATTGTTCAATTATTACTCACTAATTGTTTCTACACTTTACGTTTTCAAAGAAGATTGTAAAAATCATCTTTACTTACAAGCTGGTTAGGCTGTTGCCATTGAATTTAATAGCTGGTCTGTAATAATATAACTGAGCAATAAAAAAATGGAATAATGGCTTATGCACTGTCTTACTAAAAACATACAAAATAAAACAACCCTGTAATACAATGCACTGAACAGATATTTAACTCTTTGTTGCCATTTGCAAGCCAGTTTATTGCCACAGCAATAAATATAATGTAAATATAATACAATGTAATATATTGTAATACAACCAAGTAATATTTTTGCATCTCAAGAGCTCTCAAGTCCCTGTCAGCTTCCTTCTATAGCTGAAAACAAAGACACAGATGAAAAGAATTACTATTCCATAGCTAATAGGAGCACATTCTAGGGAGTAGAATAACAGCAGATGACGCACTGAAAAACATTCCAGAAATGTATGGAAGAGAACATTCAGCCATCCATCCACACATGACGAATCTTAGGTGAGGAAGAGGAGCGTAGACAGACTTTCATATCTCCTGAAGTTTGAAGATAAGCTCTGGGCTGTGCCTTGCTTTTGGGGCACATCCTTCTTAAAGGTAAAAATCAGGGAAAGTATATGTGCCAAAATCCCTTCTACTCTCCCGTATGATCTTGCAGGAAACCACGTCCCATATTGTGGAAGTCTGAGCTGATTGACTTAAACTTGTCAGTAATTATCAACCAGAAGCTTATCTGTTAGAAGAAGTTAAGTGCAGTTAAATGTAGCGTTGACTTTTGTTGAATGTATTAGTGAGAACATTCTTGGCATGAAGAATTGGTGAAGGTTTCGGTCTGTTTTCCCAGCAAAGAAAACACTGCAGAAATTGCTGTAGTAGTAAATATGTGATGGGTTGTTTATTTGCTGAAACATAGCCACGTCTCCAGTGCTCACAAGGAGTTCAACCACTTACTTAGATTTGGTACTGGTACATATGCCAGGGAAACTCACTTTCTAAATTTTCTTTCAAAAAGAGACCGAATTAGAAGCCTGTGAGCTGAAAGTTTGATGGTGCACTTGTAAGTGAATCCTTTCTTGGGAAGCTGAACTTCCTTTCCTTAGAAGACCATAAAGAAAAAAAAAGTCTTCATTCCTTTCACCGGGCCATCAAGCCTTGCCCAGCCACTTCGTTTTCAGAACTTGTTTTCTGTTCACAGCTATTTTATCCTCTGTATCCAAGGATTACAACTGGAAATTTGTATCTCGGTCCATTAACAGTATAATTTAAAATACCTTCAAGCCATAACAAAATTGCTATTATTTTAATAAAACTTTCTCAGCTCTAAAGTGAGTATTGTTTCCAGGAAATAATTGTGTATAATGCTACTGCTGATCAGTTTAAATAATCATTGTAAATCCTGGAAATAGGATCTTTCAAAAGATCAATTACAATTAGCTGAAAGATTGAACAGCTTCAGCTATCATGCAGTCAGTATAGGTTTAGATAGAAACTTTAATAATGACTTTAAGTGTGATAGAGCAAAAATGGAGAAGAACTTACATGGAAGCAACAGATGCAATTCTGGGGCCAAAATACTCATTGCTATAAGGCTAGGATAAACCATTAAGTTAAACAAATGAATTAATAAATAAAACCCAAACAAAAGCAAAGCAACAAAACTCAAGGAGATAATAAAATCTTGGGTGTTTTTTAATAGAAGAGGTGCATAGGAAAGGAGAAGAATTATGCCCTCACTTAGAATCAAAGCAAACTGTGCCACGCTTTTTTACAAAGCCCAGCAGGTTATCTCTAAGTGTATCAGCTCAGGGAACAGGTTAATGTAATTTAAAATTCATTTACAAAATTAAAACACATAAAGTCAGATTTGTACATGAATTCTGGAGGGACTGACTTCTACAGACAGCTCATAAGATTATTCCTGTTCCTTAAATCTGAGCATGCAAGGAGCCCCTCAGAGGTTATGGAAAATTCCTTTTCCTGGACGCGAGAGAAAATGCTCCATGTGCCTGCACATTTCCTCACCACACAAAAGAAACAGCAGTGTTGGCAGGACCCGTGCAGAGGTCAGTTTTGTTTGCAGTAAGTAGGAGACCTGTAGCAGGTTATCTCTGCCAGGCCGCTGTGCTTAGCACCTCATTCATTTCAGCATGTGCTGATGTGACTCTTCTGTGTAAAAAGAAGCATAGGGCAAAGTTACTGTGCAGCTTAGCTCTGACAGTAAAGTGCATCTTTTCCCTTCTTAAGCTTTTCATTTCTATTTTGCTTAGTGTAGACATAGAGAAAAAAGGTGCATTCATTTCTGCACCTTGGCCATTTCACAAACTAGTACTGTACCAAAATTTGTTGTAGTTTTGTGATCACAGTGAATATATACATTCAGTAACGTACCTTTTGACATGAGGGAGTGATGCATATAAATATATATGGAAATGTGTGTATGCTTCATACTTAGACTAAGTGGAACGTCCATGTAGTAGTTTATATCCGATGATGATTTAACTCGACAGCCCTGGGAAGTCTTTGTCTCTCTCTCGAATAAATGTTAGAATATACATACATTATTTGCATGTATTTAAGTGCAGCAACATTTATAAAAGTTCTTCAAATACTGCAAAGCAACAGGTTTTTTTTTTTCCTGAAAATGATTAAAAAATAAAATAAAATAAATAGGCCGTCCCTTTCTTAGAGCTTGAGTATCAAATGGCCTTATTTTTGTTAAACTACAGGGCAGATCTTACAGTCCTTGCCCAGGAACTGAGCTTGCAAATTAGTTCTCCTTCTTTAGGGCTTTTATTGTAATCTCGAGTGCTTTTAACTGTGCCTCTACATCCTAATTATTGTTTTGTGCTTTTGGAGACAATTCCACAAGTATAAGACAGGAAGGAGATCAGATTTTTCTTTTTGCTGTGTGCATGCCAACACATGGCAAATAAAAAGGAAGAGGAAATGACTAACACATATAAATGGGGAAGTTCTCCCCCTGAACTACAAAGATACTCTGATGTGCTTACCATGTTGTCCGTCAGTACGCAGTGCTGAAACTGTACCCAGAATGATTTCCATGAGTCTAATATGTTCTACCAAGTAGGCCAAGCAGTCACTCTTGTTCCTCCATGTCATCATCCTGGTTAGATTTCCAAACAGCTTTTGGTAACACAGAGCCATCAGCTCTTACAGGCACACATGGTGGGCTATAGGGGATCCTGCTCTGAAGCTATTTCTGCATTACGTATCTGGATATAGTATTTGTTCACTGATCTCAGCAGAGACCACAGAAATGTTTTTCTTTTATCCATGTTCCTTTAATTTCAGTAGCGTCACAGGCTGCTGAAAATAAGCATTCACTGTCACTGATGAGATGAGCTCTCATTTTGCTGTCCCTCCAAACAGTCCTTAGATTCAGTTTCAAATGTTTGAGATAATAAACCAACGCTTCTAAAGCTTTTCTACATTTAAATTAAAAATAGATGCAACTTTAAAGGAAGTTTGTAATACTGCTTTAAAGACTGATGTGAGTTCAGGGTTAAAGTACCATTATTTAAGTTGCTTTGAAAGTTAACTAATCCATATTCAAATGGCTTCAGTTGGATCCATCCATTTCTAGAGTTTATTCAGACTAGTTTTCCTGACTGCATGCTGTCAAGTCCAAGATCTCCTTTTCAGATGCAGAAATCTTTCAGTCCCTGAAATTAGTGGAAAAATAAGGTAACAACTGTGAACTGCTTCTATCACAATGTTTCGCTGCTGGAACCTTCTTGTAGTGAATGATCTGGAGCTAATTACATGTCAGGCAGAGCTGGGATGTATTAAATGCGTTCTGCATTGCAGGTGGTTCAGGAAGTTCAGAGGAAAGGACTCTTAAGGCGACCAATGGATTTAATGTTAGCTGCGTATCTCGTTCTGGCAGCAGGGTTTTGCATATTCAGGGGCATGGTAAGTTGAAGATATTTCAATATTACAGCCTTTCCTTTTCAGTCAAAATGTTAAACTTGTTTTTCTAAATGAGATATTTTTGCAACTGTGTGGAAAAAACGTGTACATTTCAGTCAAGGAAAATTCCTTCATTATCAAGATTGGAATAGGCCTTAGATACATAAACTGAAATTTAGGATAATTATTGGTTCTTTGTTTCTCCATTTTACCACATGTAAAGTGTGTTTTTCAGAAGAAATTGCACACAATTTCGGGAGTACATAGCATCCCAGGTGCAGATCAATGGAACAAAATTGTTTTGAGTGATTTAGAGTTGCATTTATGTTCAAGAACATTGAGGTAAGCCAACTAAATTAAGTCTCTGTTTTTATAAACAGATACTTCATTGAAATTATATAGGAAACAAAATTAATTTATACTATGTTGGAGAGAAAAAAAACACACAAAAAACTCCCAAAACACTGAACCCCCAAACAAAAAAGAACTTATGCTGTTTCTACTTACCAAATATGATTTGGTCTCTGTGTTTGTTTTAAGCACACTTGATTGAATTAAAATTTCAGAGGGAATGAGTCAATGTTGAAAATGCTTGTTGAAGTAGATAAATTCAGTAGTAGGTCAATCCAGTTGTTAGTAAAGAAAACGCCTTCTGTCTTAAGCAGAAAGGAATTTGTGTATCATCCAGTCTCAAAGTTCAGATGTTTAAGCATCTTAGACCTACTGCAGATTGCCCTGCTGTAGTTCTGCTCCTCAATTACACTCATCTTCTGCTGTTTCTCCAAAAACTTGCCTCACAACCCCCCCCCTTTTTCCCCCTTTTTTTTCCCCCCCTTTAACTTGTTGCAGATCACTTCATTTCTTATGTACAACGCTACTTCAGAGCACTACTTGTGCTGGCTGATCTGCTATTTCACCTACAGTTTTGCTGTGGGAAGTATTCTCTCATGCTCTAGCATCTAACTTTAGTCTGTAGTCCCACTTCATTTCCTATGAGGAATAACTTGCTGATTTTTTATCTTTTCTTTATAGTACGTGGTCATTTCCATATAGTTTTACATAACCAAAACAGGAACAGCTTACTGGCCTTTCTTCTACATACAGAGATCCACCAAACATCTCCATGTACCCATGATTTTATGAAAGTGCTCAGAAATATAATATATTAGAACACACCCAGACCTTCTTGGATGCTCATATTGGAAAAGAACGGGGAGGAATATCCATTTCTTGTAAATCTTCCTATTTCTTGCCAAAGTCACACAACAAATACACATAATATTCGGTTGTGCAAAAGTCACGTTTAGCCCTGCTGGTAACTACGTGTTAATAATGCCTTGCTGCAAGTCTTACTGAGGCAGCTCTTGATAGAGATTGCTTACTCCTTTTAGAATAGTTATTTTTTTGTAGAAGGTGTTTTAAGGATCCTGTGAGAAGTCATTCCTTGTGGAACTGGATCTTGTTTATTGGGAGCTTTGTTCGCTCTACAGGAATGTAAAATCCACTTCTCTCTGCTACTCCCTTTAAAAATAATTATTATTGTTTTTAATTTACACTTGTCTTTGGAATCTGCATTGCTCTCCACTGCTACTTTGCCACATTGCAGATCTTTTCTTGGACTACACCTGTAGCTTGCTATCCTAAACTTGAGTGCATAACCGGAAGTTTCCTCACACTCCTTGAGCAATTTTCCATTCAAAAGCCCATTCACTGGGATTAAAGTCTGGCTGTCAGACCAAATCAATAATTGTTATATTTTTTACTAGCACAGCCAAGTGATTGAATTCTCTTCCAGCCGAAATTTTTCAAGTATGCTGTGAGCATTTCCTCAGCACCTCCCTGAGCAGCATGAGAGGAGACTGCATTTCAGGCTTTTTTTTGTTTCCCCTTTTTAAATTGATGATTAAAGGAATCACCTTTGGAACAGATGCTAAGCAAGTCTCATAGGAAGCAGTACTTCAGCCCACTCCTAGAGCCTTAGGGCTGGTAACAGGTTTAGAGAAAGTCCTTTGTTCACGGGAAGTTTTAAAAATTCTTCTTAGATTGCTCTGGATTGCCCTGCTGAACTCTGCCGGCTATATATTCAACTGCACGAGCCTTATATAAAAGATCCTGCTGCCTATCCTAAGCTTCAGGTAAAGCATTGACTGTGAAAGCATACAGTGTTACGAAGTGATTTGTTACCTGGCACAAAGATGACGCCACGGGTTACACAGATGACGAGATCAAGAAGGAAAGTATTTGTTTATGGCAAGTTAAACGGTATTTTGTATTTCCTACTAAACAGCCTTCCAGGATACCAGTTCTTCATTGTGATAAACTTAACCTTGATTCAGATCTGTTACCTGGAGTTACACATCCTAATTACTCAGGCTTTTTAAAATATATTTCATGAGATAGATCCGCGTGCTTTTTATAATCATTATTCTCTTAGATGGACAAAGCAGACCTTCAGTCTGGAATAACGGAGCAAAAAGAGGTGCAGAACTAGGTTCCTTAAGCTCATGTTGTGCTTCTGTCACCAATGACATGCTCCTTCAACCACGATGCCTCCTACCAAACCTATTTAAATGCACATTTGCTTCAGTTTTGTAATATTTGCAAAGTTGCCATTCTTTTGCAACCCTGTCTGCTGCTTATAAGGACAGGTCCTGAAGCGATAAGAAGACTCACCATTCAGACAGTGACCTATACTTTCTGGAAAAAGGGGTATTCAGTATATTCAATACATTTCACATTTCAATATATTTCACACTCCAAAACAGAAAGCACTATGGAGCTTGAGAAATGGACTCTGAATAGCATCCAGTGGATGTACTGGATGGTGAGTTAGGCAAGCCATGCTTATTGGCATGGTCTCAGGATGGCAAGCAGTATGATGAGAGAAAACATGTCCTGGGATAAAGAGGATTTGGATCAGGCAAAGAGACAACAGCCATTGATACTGGTTGGGGCCTGGGGGTGTATGGATCCAGTCAACAGCATCCTCTTTTCTCAAAGAGATTTTAGATACAAAGTTCTGAATAATCTCAATTCTACAGTCAACAGCTGGCTAACTTTTAATGCACCTCCCTCATATTGCAAAGGAACTAATATTTGTGTTTAAAATGCAGATGCTGGCATATATGTTCTACTCCGTGCCATACTACGTGATTGCTTTGTATGGCCTACTGGTGCCTGGTTGTTCCTGGATGCCTGATTTAACCCTTATACATGCTGGAGGACTAGCTCAGGTATTTCTCCATAAAATATTCACTCTTGAATTACTAGTTAATAAGTAGAGAACTATGGAATATGTAAGGAGAGCAGGGCTTGACCTTGCCATGTCGGTTTTATGCCATATTAACACAGATCATCTTTCGTATCTGTATAAAACTAACTTGAGGGAATGGAGACTCAAGCTTATTTTATATTTGACTGCTTTCTTGCCTTGGTAGACTTTTCTCTTTCTACTGAATCCTTCAATCGGGAAAATGCAAACCTTATTGAGCGCCATGCATTCTTTAGCTGAGACTATGAAAGAAACCTGTCCCGAAGTGCCAGCAGTGGGTCATGTGAAAAAACATACAGCTCCAACAAAACAGTAACAATGTTCCCATAATATGTATTGCCAGATCAGTGGTTTGAAAAGCACAAGTGGAACAAGGAGCTACTAGTCACAGTGAACAGACAGTGACATTAAGACACACTCCTGTTGCCAAAGGCATGCTACTGATCATACTGAACTCATTGTTTGGGTTCTCTTAAACAGCTCTTAGTGCTGGTAGCTGTAAGACTGACCAAAAGAAAAAGAAACTGACAAGCAGTAATAAACTACCTATCATGCCATACAGATAAACATTCACAGCTGAGACAATGACAAATAATTTGTACTGTATGCAGGAAATGTATTCTGAGTATCCAGACAACACAGGAAAATATGCACTCAGTGCTTTAACAATAATGAAAACATTGAGACACAGCAGTAAGGGTAAATCAAGTACCGTTATTAGACAAACACAAACCAACACTTTGTTCCCTGTTGCAGAGATAACATTCATGGGTATGAACTGCAGTCCAGCTTAACTGCCCACTCAGGATGGAGGGAGTGACAGCTTACTTTTCATTTGTCAGCTGGAATCACAGAGAATGACTTTTTTATCCAACAATTTATAGATGATCTTGAATCACCAAATTGTATCAAAACAGAATCTGACCAACATATTATCCAAAAGATATAAAAAAATATACAACTGTGTTTGGCACAATCTAACCTAAAGAAAGCACAAGCTAGCTAAGGTAAGCAAGGCAGCATTGGGAACATTTCTCTACTGACAGATTGCTCAGGTTTCATGAATTCCCCAAGCTGGCAGGTTAAGAACTGCTTCTTCAATGATTATTGAGCCCTTTGTGAAATAAACCAGAAGTCAAAGTATGCTGACTGTCACAAACCTACCTACAAACTCAGACCCTCAGACTGGAGGGGATCTGGTTTTGTTTTTTAAAAGAAATCTTTCTGAAGTGGTATTTTTTACTCAGAATTTCCCATTTTAATCTTTGAAGCTTGTGCTATGTACAAAACTTTGTGGGTTGACAAAATCTAATTGATAAAGGGAACATTTCCTTTGGGATATTAGTTTTTTTTTTGTACTTCTAACTGCAATGCACAGCAGAATGAACTTCAGTCATCACACAACAGAAAAAGATTTACTTGATTTGACTTTGTGAACTTTGAGCAACTGAGGAAGAAAAATGTGACATAATGGACCAAAGGCACCTTTCCAGAGGGTTTTTTTGTTACTCGGAGGGATACAACACATTTTTGGGTTTGCCTTAGGTTAAAAAAACTTGCAACTGATGATCAAAATGCAGTACTGAATTGGATTTTGCCTTCAGTTATGAGCAAAGGTCCAAAAAAGGTAAACAACTAGTGATAGAAATGGGGCACTGACCCCAGGAACGAACACTGCTCCTACAGATGTCAGATGTCGGCATCTCAGTTGTTTTTATTCCTATCATTAGGAAATATATACTTTTTGCAAAAAAAAAACAAGTCTCAAAATGCCACCTGATGCATCCAAACGAAGACCCTCTCAAAGTGCCTGCCCTTTCACACACAAAAATAACCATTCCTCTCTGTATTTATTACTTCAGAATTACACATCGCTCTCAGTTAAATGGTTGTTCCTGACATTCAGACTTCAAGAACAGGTTGTAACTCTTAAACATTCTGAAGTTGAAGGAAGAGCTCTTTAAATGTCAAAGCACCAAAGTACCAGAACTTTGATTATTACAGTTTGCATACTCTCCATGAACTTGAAAAAAGTTGGTGTTCACCTATGCAAGTGAGCTACATGTGAAGCAATTTAAGAGCCATACCCCTGCTGCCCACAACCAGTGGGTACCAACTGTCTCACCAGTTTTTTGCAGCCTATTTCTCTATACTGTCCAAAATATAGAAAGTTTTTCTTTACTCCTCCATAGATCTGCTCTCCTCAATTCTGCAGTTTTTGGTGGCTTCTTTCTGCAGTGTCTCAGATCTGCAGGAGAACTAAAGCAAAGGAACATATTTTTCTAGGTTACTCTCTCCCCATTCCATTTGATGACTTTCCTTAGGTACATAAGATCTGATCCAATCCCTTCCAAAATCAGTTATAATTTTTTTATTTGATTTTAATCTGTATTAGAAGGAACCTTTCTCCAGGCTCTTTTCCCCTGGCTGGAGGACTTTCTTGTCTGCAGGGTAACAAAACCCAACTACAGTAATGCTACAGACAAAAAATATTGTAAAGAACCCAAACTACTTCATACTGACAAGGAGACTAATGTGTAGCAGGAAATGTAAATTACAGCTGTCACACTGAGCAGTGCCAAACCCAGCACCAGTCTTCTTCCAGTGATTGTGGAATGGCCCCGCCAGCACACTGTCAAGGCTCTGAGTTTAACAAAGGCCACATGTTTATTAAACAGAAGAGGCTACCTGAGAAGTTAACCTGTAGCACATTATCTGGTTGATTTCTCAGCCAAGTTCTGATTCTCAAAATTCTCCACTTGAAGGTTCAGTGCAGAAAGCACCAAGGATTGGTTTATTCACTGGGAGGATATGATCACAGCAGACTCAAGGTTGCCCTCACTTACTGAAATACCAGCCTAGTGCACAACTGGCACAGTGATCTGGAATGACTAACAGCTCTTACCTTTCTAAAGAACATGGATTGGGCACTTGAAGTCAGAGCACAATTAGGCTACTGGCAAATGAGAAACCTGCTTTAAAACACTCTCTTTCCTCCTCCCACCAAGACTAAAAACCCAAACCAACCAGAAAAACAGAAGCTGAGTACAGTCATGGAAAGATAGAAGATTAAAAGCCTAACACAGTCTACATGAAGGTAAATCAAACTTGAAAAAAAAAATTGACTTTAACAGACTTCAATGGCTTCCTTGGTAATGCAAAGAAAAAAGCATTACACAGACAAAACAAGTCTAATAAATAATAATTATATAGTGCATTCACTAGCTAGTGAAAATCTTCATGGGTTACAGAGAGAAAAAAAAAAGCAGACAAATGTTTCAATTTTCTATAACAGTGAAAGCTCACCAATGTGCTCCAGCTCTTGTAAGAGACACAAATCACACAGTAAGGCTAAGATGTTCTAAGGCATCCTAGGGGTTTGAGGAGTTACAGCTCCTTCCGCCAAGTTTGTGAACTCACTGTTACACATAGCTTGGCCACTTCTGGAGACAGGAGACCCTTGCAAGAGGCACACAGCTTAACGTCTTGTTCCCCCTAAGCAGTTCTGAGATGCCCTGGAAGGCTTTGGGTGAACGTTGGACAGCACCAAACCTCCTACACAAAGCCCGATGGTCGTGATTGCATATTTTCTTTGCAAACCATTACCTTGTATAATGAATGGTATTTGCTCCTGATTCTTCACTGCCTGCAGAAAGGTTCCCAATGTGAGGAGAGGCAGCAGGTATCTGAGCACATGCACACAGGTGCCAAAGGCAGCTCCCATCTGAGACAGCTGAGAGCAAACGGGCAGCAAGAGGTGACTGAATTATCCAGCTGACAGAAACAAGCTGCTGATAGTGTGCCCCTCAACATCTGTTTACTGTGTAAAAGTTATTTACAGAAACATACTAGGCAGCACTCTGCTGAAGTGTGCACTTGATTTCTTTGCCCTATTTCTTGCCTCTGGTTTGCTAGATCAGTGCTCCCTCTTACGTGGAGGTGGTTATAATCTCCTGAAATCCAGGTTTCTTTTCTGTTTTGATGTACGTTCTCAGTCCAACCCTTTGCCAGAGAGATGTGTATTAAAGCACCTGCACTGTTTCACTTCCTGCTTTGCTAACAACCATGGACAGAATCAGTCCTTCGTGAGTCCAAAACAACTCCTGCTGAAGCCCAGGTAGAGGTGCCATTTGGCCATTGTGTACTCCTCTGCACTACTAAAATCCTGCTGTCCCTTTCTCCCGCTCTGCTTAAGATTAAATTGATGTTCATCTCCTCAGATCTCACTCACTACAAAGTAATTAAATAAATAAGATTGGACACACGATAGTTAACATGAACTTCAAGCTGTTGCTTGAAATAGCAGGTAACAGATGGAGACAAAAGACAGTAACTACTCTGACACTTCTATCTTTAAGTGTTTGTTTATGCTAAAAATATGCTCCAGCTCAACAAGCTTGCCTTTGCTTATAACCTTCCGTGTGAATTGAACCTATGCTTCAGAACTGCCCCCAGACCCAAGGCCAACTTTACCAATATTTTCTGAAATCATCAGGAGTTCTGGGGTTTGAATCTATAAGATTAAATTAAAAACAAGCAAAAAACAACAAAAACCGAAACAAAAAACAACGGAACAGAAACTAACACGGCTTCCAGATTTTATTCTCTGACTTTATTTAGAATGTCTGACTGCTGATTGCTGATGCCAAACACGATGGTAGGTGGCTGCAGGTCCCACCCCCGCCTCTGGGCTGAGACCCAGCGCAGCACCGGGCAGCGATGCACAGCTTGGTGGCTGTTTGCCTGGGGAAGGATTACAGAGCCTGGTGCATGAATAATCATCCATAACTGAGGGTGAAATCCTATACCTAATGTAAACATCAGTGCTGTGTCCAAAAAATCACCCCCTGCCATGACACTGATAGCTCCCTTTCTTCTCTATACTGAGTTATGAATGACCTTAGTTCAGAGTGAATTTCCTCTCACTGCCATACAAACATATGAAGGATAATTGAGGAATAAAATGTCACAGGAGATGCATACTTGTATGTGGAATATGCTGTCCAAACATTTCCAAAATGTTCATAAACTTTACCTTCTTTTTTTCTTTTTTTCCCCAATATGCACATTATATACACACCACAGGCTCAGTTTTCCCATATTGGTGCTTCTCTTCATGCCCGAACTCCTTACATCTACAGAGTCCCTGAAGAAGCAAAACAGTTTTTTCTGATATTGAACATAATGTATGGGATTCTTCCCCAGCTGCTGGCTTACAGGTGTGTCCACAAGCCCGAGTTTTTTATGAAGGCGAAAGAAGAAGAAAAAACAGAATAGCACAACTGTTTTCAGCTCCTCTTTTTGGCTGTGTATGTAATTGGGTTTGGATGTAATGGAACTTGCTCGGACGGAACCCAAATGAGGTGTGCCAGATTGCACAGCTGTGTGGAGATGCATGGCCTTGTTTGTTCACCTGACTCAAAAAGGGAAAATAAAGATAACTGCTTTCAGTATCACTTCTCAACATTTTGACTCCAAGCACAGTTCGTACTTCATATATGGTTCATTTTTAAAATATTGCATGGAATTAAATAGTAACAGTGGCAGTGTTCTGCCTCCACACACTGAAGAACATCAGTTAGCAATCCCTATACAAACTTACTACAGAATGTGAAGGTCAAGATTTTCAAGTGTCAGAAATTAACATACATAACTCTGTAACATGCACATGTTTTATTTGTCAAAAAGTAATGTCTCGTGGGTCAGCCTTGTTAAAAACCTCAAGAAATCTTTCAAGAAGCAATCCACTGTGATGGTATGACTCCATTTATGCTATGCAAGTCGTATAGTTTTCTTAATACTTTCAAGGATTCACTTCTGCAAGGACTACTCATCTGCTTGAAGTTAAGCATGTGCTCACTTGTGTTTCTGAGCTGGACATGGAGTGCTCCCTGCCTTGAGCAGCAGCCCTTCCACATTAACATGCATTTTCCAAGAGGAGGGTTCTGCTGAAGCGTTACCCTGTGCAGCTCCTTTTGCTGACGTTGTTAGGCCATAAACAAGTAGCAGCATATACAGAGACCTTGCTTGGTCTGTTTAGGTTTCCGCTTGCAATCGCTACTGATATTTATACTTCAAGCAGGATATTTAGTGCCTTTCTTGCAGATGAAATTAGCTGATACATTTTAACTGCACACACTTTATTTTGGGGATGTTGAATTTTGGGTGTTTTGACTTGGAGAATTTCAGTTTTCTTTTTGAACCTGATCAGTAACAGGAAAGCATCAGCTCATGCGCATGCATGTTGCACTCTACACAAGGGGACTTTCAGAGCAGCAAGAAAGTCATGCGTTCACGCTCCGCAGTGAAACACTGAGGCGTGGTTCGTAGCAGCGCTCAGAAGACAGAACCCATGGTTTCATACCTCCGACCACAGGGCAGGCCCAAAAACCACAGCACATCTTTGTCAGTGCTTCTCGGTAAAAGGGAACTTAAGCAATGGTTTCCTTCAAGCACCCAACCTCCCTGGTGCGGAATCCTTCCACGTGCGCTCGAATCTGGGACAGCTCCAACCCCGTCCTCCCAAGAAAACAAGCCCTGAGCTGTTGGGCTGCAACAACACGATGTCTCACAGACATTTGCACCTCTGATGTCACTTCTAATGTTTTTAAAGAAACTTTGAATACATTCAAGGTGAATTTAATAACCTCCTGTTATCCAGAAAAGGCAAAGTACAGAAAAAATAAAGATCTCACCTGCACTTGTATCTATTATGGTCAACTCATGTTAACAGAATGTTTTGCTTTAATACTTGACTTACATTAATACCTCACATTATTACACGTATGAAGCCAAATATGACGCTAACTTAGTTGCTTACAACCTCAAACCTTACTCCCAATACACATTCCAATAAATTTATTCTGTAAAAACAATACATTTTTTTGTTTTCTTTTTGTTTCGTTTTTTGTTTTTTTGTTGTGTTTTTTTTTTTTTTTTTTTTTAGTTTTTTACAGTAAACTCGTCAACTACAAACCTTGAATACGCAAAAGATGTTCCAAGGACAAGCATAACAAGGATTGATAAAACCAGACTAAATATGTTTTCACAATAAAAGCTGGCATAAAAATAAATAAAAATCTCTATTATCACAATAGCAACAATAATGTACACAGAATAATGGATTTGGAATGCTTACTTACTAGTCTAGTTCTATTTCCAAAAGGAAAAAAAAGCCAGAATGACAGCATCCTTTTTAAGCCTTTCATTCATTAAAATCGATGTTTTCTTTTGGTTTCCCATAGGGTTCTATATCACAGTAAGCTTAAAAGTGGAAAGCATCCAAATGAATGATCTCAAATTGTGTTGGCATTGGAAAAAATCCTTGTATTAATCTAAAGAAACACAAAAAGACTTTCACTAACTTCACATATAGGAACTAAGTCAGATAGTGTACATTACATCATGATTTTGAGAAGTATTAAGAGTATAACTAGCTAGGTACTTCTAGGAAGGAAAGGTATTGTATTACATTATTGAACTTGGTGGTGATCTCAACGCAAAAAGATTTTTTCTTTCATGTTGTAAACTGATCAAAACCCAAGAAAGCATGGCCATAGGGAAATTTAAACTAATGTCTGTGGGTGGAAAATACTGTAGCGTTGTATGGAAGGGACTCTTTGCCAAGATTTCCTTGTGTTTAAAAAAAATGCTGATATAGAATGATATAATCTGGAGTTACACCTTTTCTGTTTAGAAAAGGGATCTAAAACATGTTCAAGTATGCGGCATCTTCATAAACCTCAGCCACTGGGAAAGGGCAACTTCATGCAACCAAATAATATGAAAATCGAAACGCAACCCTTAGAAAAAAGGGTAAAATGTCATTTCTGCAAACACAACAGATAGGAATGTGAATAATGTGCATACAAACTGGGATGCTGTTGATGATACTAATGAACAGATGTGATGACTCATATCAAATCCAAGAATATTAGACAACCAAACATGTAACCTTCTTGTGTTTTCCCTTAATATTCAGCAGTCATTATGTTGGTTAAGTCTGAAAGAGAGAAAGAGAAAGAAAAAAAAAATCACATTTCATGTACAAAAAAGCTTGCTCTAACAAACCTGATATAATTAATGCCTTATTGCTACATTTCAGCTGCCGGCACAAACAGCTGCTTGGTCTCTTCAAATGAAATTTTTGGCTATTTTTTTTTTCCTGGAGAAAACCGCATATGTTTCATCAACTCAACAGACCACCACAAAACACTGAAGAGCACAGTTCAAACATTCGGGGCTTTATTCAAATGAGCAACTCAAGCCGCATGTGTAACGAGCTGTTTTTCTTCTTCCCCAATCCCTTAATGGCGTCTTGCAGTACACACAGCCAGATGTTGCCTTGTTCCAGCAGCCCGGGTCACTGATGGCCTCGTGCAGGAGCTGAGGGCTGCTGTACTCCTGCATGCTCTGTGGTGAGGATGCTCTTTGGCTCAAACAAATGAACACTTCACAGGCACAAAGAAAGATAAACACTTCTCATAGCTAACGCGTCTGAATGTTACTTCTGAAAGGGAAATAGTTTGGCTTGGAGTTCACTGTAAAGACACGACAGAAAAGGAAGAAACTCCCACTTCAAGACTGAGTCAAGGTCAGCTCTGGCTTCCACTGACACTAGCAGGAATGGCATCAGACCATCCCCATGGCCTCTTGGCAAGCATCTCCAAGTCTGTTTCTTCACATTAAAGAACTAAACTCCCTTGCAGACACAGGGACACACTACTTTTATCCAACAACATGAAGACAGGCAGTGCTACTTGGCTACCTTGCCCTTCCTTCTTGTAAAGAATTCAGGACATTAATGCTTGTCCACCCACACCCTGACAGACAGAAAAAAACACAACATGCAAGCAATATGAAGGCACTGATAATGTATTTGGCCAAGAAAAAAATCATCTTAAGAAATTATGGAGTTTTGGTGACAGGTTAAATCCACTGGGGATGGCAGAAATTTCATTTTACAGAGGATCTGTAAGAGAATATAAGATATTTTAACAATTCTGCACGAACAGTTTGCTGCCCAAGCTCTCTCCCATTCTGGCCCATCATACTTGCTGTGCGTGATGCCATGGCTAGAAAAGAATATGCTTTTCTGCTCTGGAGGATAAGAGCATTCCAGTGCCCACTGGGATCCCAGTCTGGTGGCTGCTCCTCTGAACTGTGGGATCTGTTAGTTCACTGTGGTTCTGCTGTCCTACAACAAAGGGTTTGCAAACTACTGCAGCGCAAGCAGTAAGTAATGCACTTTCCACCTGTGAGTCCTGGTCTATCCTGACTAGTGGCACATGAGAAGGGGTTACTCCAAAATGCTCGCACACAAATGATGGCTCACAGGCAGCAGCCTGAGCCCCGCCTGCCCTGGAGAAGCCTAGCGACGTAGCTCATCCCAAGCACCAAGGGTCCAGGACTTCGCTGCTCTCAAAGATTCAATGAGATTGTGCTTACAGATGCTTTGGAGACATGGCTTGGAGGGTTTCACTGCCATTTCTCTTCCCTTCAGAAGGTGGTGCAGATACCCAATAGGGCAATGCCAAACGATTAGTCAATCAGCACCTTCAAGCAAAGTTCGTAGTGACAGCTACTAGCCAGTCCTGGTAAGGCTGAATGGTTGCTGAAGCAGTTGGTCCCTACAGCACTGCTGCCAGATCCGGCAAGGAAAGCTGTCCTTTTGCAGCACTAAAGCTTTGCACTTATTAACAACTATGCAGCACTGGGTTAATGCCAGCAGGCTGGGTAGCACCCTGCTCACGTGGTGTGCTGTGAACATTAACAGTTCCATTACCCACAGATGTGTCTGCTGGGCCACGGTGCAGCACAGCAGGGAGAACAAAGAGCCAGGTGCATGAACCACGCTCTAGGATGTTAGCAGCATCTTCTTCCATCATGACACACACAGTGTGCCCCGTGCACACTGCCAGCTTTCCCAGGAGCCAGCAGCGCTCCTCCCCACATGCATGCAGCCCACGGATGTGCGGCTGTGCAGGAGCACCTGGATCTGTCCTGGCTCCTTCATTCAGCAGGGCAGCGTGACTGCCAGGCTCCCATGTCATCTGCTGAACAAGGATGTGGCTGAAGGAGGATGTGGCACAGCTGAGCAGTTTCCATGGTCTCCATGGTTTCATTTCTCTTCAGAAACAAATCCCCTCACATCATCTTTGAACACACCGCTCAGCTTCCCTGTAAGGCACAGTGCAAAATGTGCTGCACTTGTCTGTGCTGCTGCATGCAGAAAAAACAGCACACAGTGTGGAGGATGCAAGCAAGAGGCTTCAGGCATCAATAAAATTGAACCTGGTGCTCTAACAGAAGGACTGAGCATAAAGACAGCAGAGAACAGAAATAAGCCCCCAAATTTACTTTTTGTTCTGAAAATTCCTTCTTTAGCATTACGTGGTGACTCAGCTATCCTATTCTCTCCTTGGATGGGCAGAAGGAAAATTATCTTCTTGCTCTTCATGACCGTTGTTATTCCATGCTGGTTTGAGGTCAAAACGATTACGAGATTCAGTGCAGACAGAGACACGGAAAGTCTATTTCGTCTACGCCAGCTGCTCGAACCTCAGCTTGCATTCAGCCATTCATGCTCCTCCTGTGTTACCTTCCATTGCCTCGCTGAGCAGTGCTGCTGTCCAGAGCTGTATGAAGGCAGCAGCCATTGCTCACCTTCACACAGCAGCTCACAGCCTGCCTCCATGTCATTTTGCACAGAAATTTTTACTCTGCGTTTTTACCAAAGTTATATTTTTTGGAGGGGTAGATTTTAACTTACTTGAAAGGAGTGCACATTCCATTTGAGTTCTCTGGCAGAATGCCCACATAATGCTTTTACACTGAATAGAGCCCTAAATGCTATGTGTTTAATGCTGATAAAACCCCAAAGCTGCTGTGCAGTCTGGTCCACGTTTTTCTTGGGAAGTAAAAAAAGGAAGAGCCAAAGCAAACTGCTCAAAATCACATCAGAAAGCCACGGTGAACCTGGGTTTGTCAGGCCAGCATGGCCATAACGCTTTTCTCTTAAAACTGTAAGCAGAATTGTTGCTACCCCACAAGAACATCACAGCAAAAAAACGTGCCTTGGACACAGGCTGTTTTAAATATGTTCTCCCAATTGCAATAGTATCAGATGGCAGTAATTTTGGAGCAGATTTTGATCCCCTTATTTATGTTGGCAAGCAGTTGCCTCCACAAATAGATCCACCACCTCCCATGTTAGCAACTGATTGTCAGTGGGAGTAAAAAGATCAGAGTCCTTTATCTCACTTCAATATTCTGGCTGCAGCAGGAGCAAAAACCCAAACCTAACAACACGCATATTGAATTTCCAACAAATCTAGCCTTTTTCAAAGACAGTAAAATAATTCACCTCCTGAAAAGCATCCATGGGCATCCTTACACAGGCAGGCACCAACACAACTCTCACTTATCAAGACAGTATCTGGACTAGCAAATAAAACAGTAAATGCCTCAAGAAAAAACAACCCCAATGTGCTGAGCTTAACAGTCAATACTTCCTTATAGCTTAGAGACTACGGTCAGGAGTCAGGGTGATTATATGGGCATCCAGAGCAGTGAAAGTAACAGCGATTGAGGTCAGCTCTAACATCAGCCAGCCAAGAACCAAACACAGGTTGCAAGAGATTTACCTGCAGAATGCAAGTATGTTGCCATGAACTCACTGATTTGTGAGCAAATGCTGCACCCTATAAAGAAAGCCATACAGAGCCATGGATCCCTTTCCATGGGAATATTCTGTTTATGGGGTGTTTTGGAAAAGCCAGCACCATTCAGTATTTAACAGCAGAGAATTGTCATGGGGGACTGAGCAAGCTCTGGGGTGGGCTGCCTTACTTCAGGTATGTTATTCAGGTAGGTT